TTTTGTTGTGTGGGTGGGTGGAATGGGGGGAGTTTGGAGTGTGTGTTTGTTTGTGTTTGTTTCAGGCAGTCGTCTCCTACACTCTGCCCCTTTAGCTGTGATGGCCTGTTTGTGAGACACAGACATAAAATTATCAGACTGGTCGTTGTCTGCCTTTGAAGTGTCTTGAGCTGTCCATCCTGATTTGTCATCCAGAGGGGGATCAGTCCAGTATGGCTGCTGTCTGAAGATCTCTCATCTCTGTGTTTTTGCAAGAGGAGGAACAAAGCCTCCAAGCTTTTATTATTTTGGTCATGTATGGTCTCATTCTTATAGTTTTAGTAAATGTCTCTTTTCTTTAATCAGCCATCACCGTTAAATTTCACTACATTTCATGACATGTGAATAAAGGTGCTCTTTGACTATATACATATGGACTATGTTGAGAATTGACCACAATGTGGATGGTGATTGAGAAGATGACATGTTTAACTGTTATTATTATGGTAAAATTTCCGCCGGGATGCTTAGTGGCATAGGTGGTATAACTTAAATATGCGATAAAAAGGACAATCCTGAAGTAACTCACAACTCAAACTCAGTTGTAAGAGTTGGTTGGATGCCAGTTGGTTCAGTTTAGTCAGATTTAGATGAAAAACAAAAGATAACTGAAGGGTATACTATAAAGTAAGGAAGTTCAACATAGCTGGGTTTTCTTTGTTTTAGCTGGCTTGACAAAATCTAAATCCCCAGTCAGAGATAACAGGTATCACAACAATAGTTGACAACTTCAAGCTATGTGCATGCTCGCATAAAAAAGGAGGATTTCACAAGTCATATGACTGTTTTTTCTGCACAAAATGATCCCTACGAGTGCCACCTACTTCAGTTGGAGACATTAACAATTAATGATGATAGAACACAAAAAAAATCTAATAGCAAAAGACGAGAGATTAATGCTACAGAAAGTGATTAATATTGGGATTTAGCACAAAGCAATAAAATAAACATTTTCACTTTAGTTATTTTTATTTCTGATGTGACAGCCGTAGATTAGATATTTGAAACTTTAAACTCAATACATTTTAATATTAAACTGTCCCAGAGCCTACTGAAAGAGATGTGAAAATCACTCGTTTTTTTGCCAAATCAAAATAAAATTATTTTTATTGGTTGAATGGGTATTCTTGGTGATAAATAACTCAGTTAAGGCTTAATATAGCTCACATATACGTTAATATACCTTCATAATATATGGTAAACAAAAAACTTTATAAAAAGTGATAAAAGCAAAGAAAAATCAAGTAAAGGTTCTCAGTTAAAACTCAATAATAATTACGTATAAATCAAGTGTATGTTATGAGGGAAATGTGAACAATAACATGAATCATGTAGGTCTTATAAGACTTACATATAAAATAAAAGTATTTTCTTTTGGAGGAAATAGAGATGTTTTTTCTATGTATTTTCTCTATGAATAGCTTCTTATCTGAGCTTTAAGGACACAAATATTTTAAATATGTTTTAAAGGTATATTTTTTGGTGTCAAGGTGATCAGTCAGAAAAATCATAACACCATAGGTCTAACATTAATAAACTGCCCAAAGACAAATGGCAGTTGTGAGTTGAACCCTACCATTGGAGATACATTAATAGACATTAAAGGCTTGCAAATGCTGCTAAATTAACCCTTATTTGTAGTAGTGTTTATAGTAGTGATTCACTTTTTGAAAGCTTTTTTAAACAACTGTATTCTTTTGTTTACCTGCTGTGTGTCCTAAATTTAACTCAGCTGCTCAGTAGAAATAATAATAATAGTACTTTATGGACCAAAGACATACAAGGGGAAACATTGTGACCTAGATATTTTCTCCCCTGCAGCTTTAGTAGATATGATTCAGGACTCTTTCTCTCCTGCTCCCTTGTTTGAAGGCAAATGAAGCAGAGGCATTCCCCTTTATCGAACCTTAGTCAGAATAACCAAAAAAAAAAACAAACAACAAAGATGGGGGAAAAAAATCATCCCATGACTGTCCAGAGTGACTGATCTACCTCAAAGATATGACTGTCCCCCACCCCCTGTTGCTCCTATACCCTGCCACCTCCCGCCGCCTCCTCATACCCCCCGCCTCAACTGCCTAATGACTCCTGGAGGTTCCATTTGTAAGGCTCCCATAGAAACACAACTACAATAGGCCCCATCTTGAGAGGGCCCATCTGGGAGTCTTTGTGGGGCCTGCTGAAAGCCACAAAGGCCTGCTGACCTAGAAACCCATCAATAAGAGAACAGGGAGCCCCACCGACAACAAATTGAAGAGCCATGGAATTTCCTTAGCCATCCTGAGTCCGTAGGTGAGGACCTGGACCAGGAACGTGGGAGGAGAAGGGAATTCTCCGGATGTTCGAGGATGACACCTCAGGATGTCATTCCCAAGCTGTCAGCTGTATGCCCATTACCTTCAACTGTCACTGCTGCCTTTGTCCTTGTGCCCACTGGTTGTCATTGTGAAGAGAGGCCTATGAAATCTTTACAAAATGGTGATTGTGACAGGAAGCAGCAATAGCATGCTGTGAAGGGTTCTGGGCCCTGCTCTGTAGGGTTTCATATTGATGATGCAGGTTTTTCTGCTGGTTTGGGGTGAGGAATGGACGGGTGGCTGCTTTGTACGCAAGAACAAAGACTACTTTTGGGAAAGTGTGTTTGCTGTTTAGAATTATGTGCCGGTCCATTTAATGCCTCCTCTAATGTGGCTCTAATGTCACCCCTCAGAGCAGAGATCTGCCCACTGTGCACAACTAACTTTTTACACTGTTAACTACACCTGATGGAAATGATGTGAGAATGATAGTGAAAGGATGCCATTGCCACTTGAATGCACACAAAAATCTGAGAGATTCATGTGAACCTGTGTCAGGAAGCATTTTGAGAGAAGCTCCTACCTTATCCTACTTCTGCCTTCTCTTGTCACTTGTAGTACCTTTCCATTTAGTGGGAGGGTCCAGGTGAATGCTTAAGGCAGGTGTCTTTGTCTCACCTCCACTGCTGTGTGGCGAAATGATAGAAATACTGTTTTAAGACCCTAACAAGAAAGGTGAAGATGTCATCTCCACTTTGATAGTCAGATCACACTACATGTCCCTGTGACATGTCGATTGCCACTTCATGTCCCTCTTAAGGTAACCAGAATGTGGTCCTTACATCAATTACAGTTTGCAGTTGTGATGTGGTCATGAACTGCTGGATCTGTGATGTGTGAATGAATGTTGAAGAAGGAAAGAATATCAACAATGTTTGGCATTAAACAGTTTGGCATTAAACAGAGATTTTTTTCCACTTATTATCAAATTCTAATTATTGTTGTCTTTGTTTTATCAATATTTCTTTTTAGAGGAGGACCGATTTGATGGCTACTCTCGCATGATCCTCAAGTACTTCCTGGCAGAAGGAGTGGTGTGTCGGCATGAACTTTTTGTTGCATCAGCTCAAGATAACCCTGATGACATCTTACAGGTATGAGGGGAGGTGTCAGCAATTCTGTAACAACTTGAAATGAAACTGAGGTACTGCAGAGGATGATTTATTTTTCTAAGCTGCGAGCTTTGATGCCAAGGTGGCCTTGTGTTGTTATGTCTGCTTTAACATTTTCCCGTACAACTGTCAAACAAAAAGAACTTTGTTTGAATGTTGGAAAGTACTTGTGGATGTTTGTATAATTTATATATATATATATACACAGATATGATAGATTTTTTTGTGCTCATAATATAAACCCCCACCTGCTTTACAGTGCAGGCACACAGCTTTTGCTAACATGTGTCAGGGTCAATGGGGGTATCTGGGAGGTCGAGGGTGGCCTGGTTATAGCATTGTTGAAATGTTTCCCGACGTATCACTTTGTGAGGAGCACCATAGCCCCAGAAGCTGATTGCCACCCCGCATAAGGGAGGGGGGCCTCTCTCCCACTGATTGATAGTGGGAGGGGTCATGGCGTCACCCTCTCTTTACATATCAAAGACTTATTAAGAGAGGGGGGCTCCCAATGGGAATATATCACATCATTTAGTGTTTTCACAGCTACATTTGCAGTATTCTAGTTTTCTGATGTTAAGGTTCCTCTTTATGGATTACCATGAGATGCAGTTAAGTGCTTAGAAGGAGAAATGAAGTTGTGATGCACTGTAGTATTGTTGTTACTTAACTAGAGAGATTTAGTTTTGAGTCTCTTATCAGGATCTCTTTCCACATTGTATTTATGTTAAGCCTTAGAAACTGAGATTAAATTCTGCAATGAGTCAGTCTTTAGATTATTATTTTTTTGTAATGTAATACACATGATTATATATCCTGCTGTGTTGCCACTACAGTTGTTTTTAGTTTAAAATATTTGGCCTGCACATAAACTTTTATAAAAACCATGTTATTAGAAACTCATTGGCACTTATGATGCTAAATCATTCAGGATCTAGTTTTTGACCCACCACTGGTAATAATGACAGGTATCTGTTTATTTTAATTCTTTTATATGGATTTAAAAAATGTTTTTTTATCATAATAAACTGATGCCCAGGTTCAACAACATCTTCTTACACTGGGACTTTCCATAGTCCCCATATTCTACTCAAAATTTCCATACCATTAGAAATAACTAACCCTTATACCAGTTACATGAAGTGTAATGTACTGTTTTGAACAGGAACTCCCTGCTCCCATCTTGGACGATGTGGCCATTCACAAGCCTGTGGAACAGCCCAGGCTGTCTTGTGAACCCCAGGACAATTTGGATGCTATGAAGATTGCCTGGCGCTATCAGAATCTACCTAAAGTACAGGTAGTCAGATTGATATATACATTATATATAATGTCTCCTATTGTGTTGGAGTAAAGGTAATCTTTTTTTAATTCTTAAAAGTTCAAAATGTGTCTCTGTTAATGATGATTTGCCAATGGATTGCACTGGCACTCTGGTCTTTAGTGGTTTGGCAATTGTCTCAACCACTAAATCTATCAGCTTCTAAACTCCTTTGTGGGGTGAATGAGGCCTCAGCCTCTCCTTTCAGAGCTGGGCCAGATTACTCACACTTAACTGGCAATAGGTAGGCTTTTCACTGGTCCCCAACTTGCATATACACACATATACACACGCCTGCACCCCTGCTTAGCCTGGGAAACAAGAGTACTTTGCAGCCTGTGCATTGACATGTCTGCTCGCTCAACCCTATGACCCAGACCTGCGCCTCTGTCTTTCCCCAAATCCCTGCCTTTCCCCCTGCTAGGGTCGGCAGCCCTACACTCTTTCTTCCGCTTTGAGGAGAGGTGACCCTCCCCTTCTACTTCTCTGCAGTCTACCCCCGTTGCTCTATAATCCATATCGCTATGTGGATTAACAGCACACAGTGTGTCCCTGGGGATCCTCTCCTTCTTTCTCTCTCCCTGGAAACTTCTTTATATCTGTGTCCTTTCCTCACCTCTCCCCCTTCCCCTGTAAAATCGTCTTTACAAACCACTAGTAAGCCCAACCAGAGGATTTGCATCCCAAATTCACCCGCAGAGTCAACGCTTACTTTCCCCTTACACACACCTCTCCTGGCATAGCCCACTGAGTTGCTCTCCCGATGAAGACATCAGATCAAAGGTGAGGCCGTCAGGGCGAGGATGGAACGCTAAGCGGGTTGCCTAGCTCACAAAGAGAAGATGAGCTCCTGACCCCCCTGCCCTCCTGACCCCCTCGTCCCGCCAGGAGAGGGACACACCGGGGGCCCTAATCCAGATTAGGAGTAGATTAAGGGCCCCTTTAACAATAGAATCCCTGGTTTCACTCAGAGAGAAGAGCTAAAACTCTCTCTTTCAGCTGCAGGAAAACATCCGCCTTCCCTGCGTCCGTGATGCGTTTGCTTTCACAGCCAGAAGTGGACATTTATGTGAAGAAATGATTAAGAGTGTGGTCATAGTGGTTATTTAACTTCTCTGCTGTAGGAATGTGGAGGAATGACCCATAAACAATGCAATTGCTTTACCATGGAGCGGAAAAACAAACTCTTTACAAATTAGGAAAACAAATAAGTTTTTTTTTCTTGTGAACTGTTCTATTCTTATTTGAAAAACATTAAATACACACCAATTATTTAAAAAAGTTCAAAGCAGGTAGAGGTGTCCGATTTTATTGAAAGTGGTTTTTAAATTAATTGGGTTAGATTTTTTATTGTTTCACTTTCCAAAAATTGACCCTTTGACCTTTTCAGAGTGCCCTGGCCTCTTCTTCCCGATTTGGGCATTACTATGATGTTTCCAAGACAATGGAGCCAGAAATTCGCCAGGCAGCCAAGTGCCACCGCTTCTACCTTCCAGAACATCCCACCCAGTCATCAACAACAAACAGGTAAAAGGACAAGACACTATCAACAGAACACATGGAAACCAATGAGACACGATCCACAGAACAAAGGCACACAAGCACGACACCACCCACAAAACACAGTTATACAAATAAGACATCATCCACAGAACACAGGTAAGCAAACATGGCATTTTTCACAGAATACAGGTACAATGCAAACAGACCAACATCATTTTAAGGTAACATTACTGTATTGTAACTGTCACATGAATTAAAGAAGAGAGTATGAGAGGACTGAGGTTTCTCCCTTTGGTTAAGATTTGTAGGAAATTATTAAACTTTAGGCTTGCAAGGTATAATTGCTTTCCTTGTTATTTGATTAATAATCATTATATTCTCTTTTCTTGACTACATTTTTTAATGTCTATAATTTTACACAGTATATTTTTTAATGGCTTACAAAACATAATTTATCATGTATATGTCCCTTTTTGAGTCTAGGATCCACTGCTATTGAATTAATTATATGAAACATGATTACTATATTTCCTAATTTTCTGTTATTCCCCAAATCAGTCAAGTTTATATGTGTTTTTATTAGTTATAGCAGCAAAGCAAGCATGCATCTTGCTAAATTTTGCATTAATAGTTTATGCTTTTCATTGATTTTCTTCAAAATACAAAAATGTCATATCTGTAAGGCTGAAATCGCTTTTTTGTGCTTTTTACATACCTGCTCAAAAGTATCCACATTGTTTTGTACTTTTGAGTCAAATGTCCACTTTCAAAAATATACTGATGCAAATTCATTCAAATCTGGCTGGTTTGTCTTCTGTTCTGAGCAGCGTGCCACTGGCCCAAGTCATTCAGGCTCTTGGAAAGGTTGCGTATGTCTATTCAAATAAGGGCCTTGTTTGCTCAGCGTCTGTTTGATTTCTCCTGCATTGAGTGTACTTAGGGTTCAGAGGTCATGTAGGCTCTTTACTCAGAGTGTTGCTGAACACACAAGTGCACACGAAGGCACACTCACACACACACAGGGTAAATATAGCAATCTGGAGCACAGAGGATGTGGAGGAGGCTTTATGGTATCACTCTTCTTTTATGTCAGCAAACAGACTCTTTAGCAGAGCAACTGTCCCAATACACTGAATTTTGTTAACATTCACTTTCAAAAGTGTGGATGGTAAAGTGGACACCACTAGCTGTTATAACTCAACATTGCCTAATGGAAAAACATAAAAGAAAAAAAATCTTGTTCACTGATGAATCTGAGTAAGCCTGACATAGTGGTGCTGTTGTAGTGTCTGAATGGGTTATAGATCTCACAGGCATTTTGACAGCGGGAAACTACACCTGCACTGCAGCATTGTGCCCTAAGCCCGCCCCGGTATTAACACACATGCATGTGCTCACATACACAGTGCATTGCACACGCACATGTACCACACAAACTCCTAAGCAGGCTACTCCCCCTTGCACGTGTCCAAAGCCCCATGTTGATACCCTAGCTGTTAAATTGCTTCGTTTCACTTGAAGGCATAATTGGCACAAATTGCTCTCTAGGTGATACAGATCCTGTTGTTTAAGACCAAGCATCCCCGTTCTCTCCTCTTTTCTTCCCTTGCTGAAATAGGAACGCTGAGATAAAGAAGCTTCCCTGTGCATGATCCTAATTAGCTGACGCACTAGCCCCTGTAGCTAAGCACCTAGACCTTTTTGGTACCTGAATGAGGGTTGCTCAGTAGGGGTAGCTAAAACACAATGCTGCCTCTCACAATGGCTGCCAACCAGTAGCAACCTCCTCAACTACATGTCACACCATCCCAGCCCCCTACCTCAGAGCTGGGGCATGGGCAGAGAGGCCGTGGAGGGTAGGTGTCCCTCTTTCACCAAGCCAGCTCTATCATTAGCCACAGCGGGGTCAGGAGGCACCATTGTTGTGTTGAATAACTGAAATAGAGTACATGGATATACTTGGCCAAGTGTAATCAACACGAGTGTGTATTACTGTTCTTTATACATGGCTATTGGCGTGTGACCAATCTATGTGTATCAGCTTTTGTAGCCTGCAGGTCGAATTGACAACTGACATAGCAGCCCAGTGTGAGTTACCACAGAGTGGTCATTACAATGGTGGGGCGTTCTTAAGTGGAGGGTCTTGTGTAAAAAGATGGGGTTAACATTCCTGTCGGCCATCCTATAGACACACGGAAGTCCCTTGATTGTTGCTAAATGTTGCTCTGATAACACTGTGTGCCCTTTGGCAGTGGTGCACATCTTACCCCTGATTAAACCCAAAATGCTGTTCTCTGTTAATTTTAGATATCAACCCATTAATTCTCCTGTCCTTCTCACGTATCATCTTTGCTGTGCGTATGTTTGTGCATATGCGCGTCTCATCTGTCTATCTGTCTGTCTCGGCACAATCAGATCCTCAGGGAGCTGACAGAGAACCAGTCATGTTGTAATTTAATCAACCAAATAAATTAATTGGATCTCTTGATATGGATCATCTGTCTGCTTCAGTGGCTACAGAAAAGCACAGTCAGGAAGAACATGCTGCAGTCATAGACGATTAAACTACTGCGGTGATAGGCTTGGCCCAGTTTTATCAAAATAGTCTCAGTGACAATTTACATATATTAAATAACCCTTTTGTGTTCTCTTTCTGGGTGTCTGCTTCACTGTTCCCATTCTTTCTGCCCTACCCTGTGCTCTCTCCAGTCGCATGATTGAGTCTTACTCTGCATTGCTGAAGTCCCTTCAAGAGGTCATACACAGAGAAGGCTTTGATTTGTCTACCCCCATGGTAAGAACCAGTATTATATCTGTTTCATTTGAGAGTCTGGAAATGGATGATTTTGCAATTACAGTTTGTATTTTCAATTATTGCAGCCCGTCCCTTCAACAAAAACATCTAATACACATAGAAAGATGTAACTCTATGGGTTTACTTTTTTGGCTAAAACTGTAAACAAAACAATCGAATAAAAATATGATCCACTTCAGGTGATCCTTCAGTTTTAAATTTGCTCCTTTCTGCCCATTCAACCAGTTGCAGTTTTTAAAATGTTCAAAGAAACACTTATCAGTGCTGGGTGATCCAAATCTCTGTGATATAACCTAAACCATGTTTTGTGTGCATTATTGTTTATGGTAAGTGTATGGCAACGATGCTGAATTCTGAAACTGTACCAGGTTACAAATACCACGTCTTAAGCTCACTTTTAATTACAAGCTATTGTTCATATAAATGTTTGTTACAAGCACTGGAGTAGCACAGAGGGAGATACTAGATCTGCATCTGTGACCCCCAACCACTACTTGAGCCTGTTTACCTCTTTCTCACCTGCTCAGGTTGACCTCACCTGTGTGTTCCCAGCTGTGTGTCTTATCTTTGACATAAATCTTCGGAATAATCACCGGTTCTCTTCAGAGTGCCAGAAGCATTTGTGGCCTTATCTACCTCACTTTCCATACTTGTTTATTAAATGTCCTACTGTTAATTTAAAACAATACTTAATAAGTAGTGTTCATTCACAAAAGAATGTAAACTCTATTATTTGTGATCCAGTGCGTGCATGTGCATGTATGAACACACACATATGTGCGCGCCTTATTCACCTACATTCTGTGACCCCTCTGCTTGTCACCTGGAGCCACCTCTCCCCCCCTGTCACTCACGCACAAGATTTACCTCCCCTACCCCCCACTTTCCCTCCCCAAGCGCTGTCAATCACACACCAGATTAACTGCTGACATCATTAAAGCAGTGTGGCCGCCCGATGTGCTGTTGGCACAGTCCAGGAATGCAGACTAGCACAGGGCGACATGGGCACACACAGAAAAAAGGCCAGTATGGATGATAGTGTGTATGCATCTTTATGTTGATTCGTTTATCTGCTTTTGGGAGACTGCTCATATTGTGATGGTTTAATATAAATTGTAAATAACAGATTACAATGTTGATTAATCTCCCTGTGCATGTTTTTGGTGGATTCCGTTGAGTTGTGTGAGCCTCCACAAACACTGGCTGATTAGGTCGGGGTTCCAGGCTTGTTGTAGTCTATATGGCTGGCTTCTGGCTGGACCTTATTGGCATTGTTCCCTGATTTTTCTATAGGCTTAACTATAGGAGTTAAGTTTGGCCTCCCTTGCTAATGTTGCTACAGCAACACTGATGTTACCACAGCTCCCCCCTGCTGGGCTGCACATAGAAATAAATTTCTTCTTTTTTTTCTTTTTTTTGCCTGTCCCATTTGGTTCTTTAGCCGTCAGAATTGTTGTCTGAAGACCAACAAGGATACCCAATGGATTTACTTTGCCAAATGGATCATCACGGCCTTGCTGTATTGGTCCATTTGATCAACTTTTGTTGTTATTATTTATTTTATTTTATTTTCAGTTGTTTCAGATGGGACAGACATGACTGAGGGATAGTGAGAAAGGGCACTTAAAAAGAGAAAAAAAAATCTCCTGGATCAGAAATAAATTTCTAATTCTGTGTCCCACAAAACCCGTGATTGAAGAGACTGCTCAACAAAGAAAGTGACTTAAGGGAAGCGCACATAAAACTCATATTTAAGCATAGTAAGGTATAGAAATGAAGCACTGGTGGTGAATAACATGAGTCAACATGAGTTGACTGTAAAAAAATCTCCCAGAAACAATGGGGTTTATTTTTCTAAGATCCCTGTGATTCTGCTCCAGACCCAAATGAAGCTTAGGTCATGTTGTCGGGAGAGGAAGCAGGAGGGAGTGGGGCAGAGGAGATTTCGGGAGGGTTGAGATAATAGAGGGGGAGGGATAAAGAAGAGAAGAGACTGGGGGACAAAAGCAAAAAGTGAGCAGATTTTAGGCCAAGACTTTGTTAATCACTTTTGGCTCTCACCTCAGTAATTAGGAGCCATCCTTACGAAACCCCAAATAAAAGGCAATTGTACTAAAGGCTAAAAAACTCTCACACTTTGGACAGGCTCCTCCATTCTTTCAGTTTCAGTGATATATATATCCCACCACTGTTTGGCCACTTTTTTTCTTTGCCCATGAGAGTGGGTTACCGTTGATCTCTTGTAGTGAGGTGGGGGGGTTTCAAGGGAAGGCACTCCACCCTTACCCAGGCCCCCTTGGCTGCAGCGCATCGCTGTGGTGCCAAGAATGTGCTGGAGTTTCTGGGTGGCGGCCATATTGGAAGCCTGTCTGACAGGTCCATTGTGCGTGTGTCAGATGGCTTCTGTGATTGGGCAGTTGTGTCCAGTCACGTTTGGGCACTGTGTTCGGATTGTCTGTGCTGGTAAGCAGACTGTCCATTCGCTCTCTTCCAAAGTTTGGGAATACTACCCAAGACCACAGCAGCTTACTGAAATCATTTAAAAGCGGTTCTCAGATAATGTTCAGAAGCAGTGTTATTGCATTCGACTGTACTGTAAAATAAAACACATTTGCATGACTCTTTCTTGAATATTTTCTGTGTTTCTGACCCTGTTTTTTTTTTCTCTTTTGTTTTTGTTTTATCTTATAGTCCATGTCTCGTAATATCTTGCGTGTTGGGCTTCACTCTCTTGGGTCAGCTTTGTGGAATGATGACCTGAGTTGCCACGACGACCCCATGCATAACCACGCCTTGACTACCTTTCTTTATGGACTGCGTGCCTTACTGAGGTCATCACTGTCAGTTGCAGTAGTTACTGTTCCTTCTCATCTTATTCAGGTAAAACACTGGTTGACACGTGTAAACAGTTAAACATAGTTGAGAATCTCTTTTTGAAAGAGGTTTGTCGGTAGTTTTATGTGCAAAAACATTTATTCTTGTGTCTCTTTCCTCCAGTGGGATGTTCTAAACTTGATTTGATTATGTCTTTTTTATTAGTAGAGTGCATAGTATGAAGTCTTTTGTACTGTGTCATCCTCCTGACCCTGTAGTTCAGTGTCACCTTGGTATGACTCAGGCCACTTCCTGGAAGCCATGCTTTTGCAGCAAACACAGTCAGTTGCATACTTATTTTAAAGGCCTTTGAATCTGTGAGGGGGTTTATGGTGCTGTTTTTAAAATTAGAGTTTTAAGCAGAGTGTGAGCCTGTGTATTTATTTTATCATCTTACTAATATTAGTCCTTGCAGTTGCGAGTTGTAAGTGTAAATCTTGGGAGGAGGTGGGTGGTGTGGTTAGGCAATTGGGGGGAGTCCACGTGCATGCGCCTGTGTCCAGTCTGGCCTCTCAGTGTGAAGATGGAGTCATCTGCTGAGGCATATGGCAAACCACAGCCCTCCCCCAGACAGTCAACCACAGAAGCACACTCACCAGAAAAGCCATCTGAGACTTTCTGCCAAAATGTTTCAACCTGCCCACTCTTTTACTGTAACACCCTACTTTCTTACTCACTCACTCAATCACATGAGCATGAAAACACTGTTATTTCTGAGCCTTTTATACAGAGATATAGGTCAGTAACTTACAGAACAGCTGTGTTGTCATAACTTGCTCTGGCTCCAGGCCTATATGTGCTCACTGCACAGCGGCCTTGGCCTAGTCAAAAAAAGGTAGAGTGGCTAACTAGCAGATGTCAGCTGTGGTGGGAGCGGTCCCCCTGTCCCACTCTGGCCAAGCTTCCAAACCCTTAATCTGTCCCCTCCCCCTCCTCCACCCTGGGGAGAGAAGTGAATGAGTTGGGGAAGAACAGGAGAGGAGATTTTGGACTGAATTAGGTGTTCAGTAACTAAGCCAACATAGAGGTAATTAGGGCTATGTGACCTTATTATTAGTTATATAATTTAGTTATACAATTAATGTGAATTTCATTCACTCAGTAAAGTGATTAATCGTTTGAAGGCAGTGGTGTGTAAAACCTACTCATTTCAAATTGATAACAGAAATTAGTTTGACATGGTAGAAGAGTTTCTTTGTGCCAGAGCATTTCTTAAATAGTTATAATGGAGAAGGTATGGCCTTTGGAAAACTGTCTAGACTAGTAGCAATGGGCTACCTGGCCAAGGCTCTATTGTTTTGGCCAGCTAGCCCACTGCTGCTAGCCTACAATACTCAATGCATTATTGAGCAGCTTGGGAAGCTGAACAACTCACTGAAAGCCTACTCACAGCAGCCCAGTGCTACAATCCATCTGAAATATTAATTAAGCTCGTCTTAGCCCGGTTCCCCTCAATCTTACTTGGTCCTGCTACCACACCCATCCCACACACAAATGTAAAGTTCACAGTCTTCCCCATAACGCATCTATACTCTCATCTATACTCACCTGGTGCTCAGACTAACGCGTTGTCCTGATTGACATAAATATTGCAGCTCGTCCAGAAAGATGTCCACATAGCCTCTACACCATTTATATAAGCTGCAGTCTTACCTATGAATATAGCACTTGCCTATTCTTGTAATACCGAAGAGCAGAGCAGTTTTTTCAATTGTAAAATAACTCCTGTTACTGACTTTATTTCTTTGCATATCTTCAAGAGAATATTTCATATTTTCATTTTGTTCAACTTTTGATCATCAGAAAGTCAGCTTTAACTCACTCAGACTGAGTTGGGATCATATTAATAAGATTGTTTACTTGATGACATGTATACCCAGTGGCATTAGTTGTATGCCATTGAGTCAAACAGCCAAATGAAAACAACAATAGCTGTAATGTTGCAGCATAAGGTGAACATTGGGCCCTCTCTGTGACCTGTCAGACAGTGGTCATCCGCTGAAGCTGAGGGTTTCAGGGGATTTGCACTGACCTAATCTGAATTTATTGAGGTAGCATAGAGTTTAATTACAAGACTCAAACGAGTCTTGTTACAGCCCTTTATTAATTATAAATAACATATAAAGAATTATATTCAGCAGAGGGGAGCATTTCTTTTATTGCTTTAAAAACTCAAGAAGCTGAGGCGCATGTGCGTGTCTTACCGACCTCATTCTGCCCTGTTGCTATTAAACTGAGCTGCTTTATGTGGAAAGTTTGAAACAAATCACTCCTTGATAAGGAATCTAATCTATCTATTTATGTGCACACAGAAGAGTTATAATCCTCTAAATAGATTTGTACAGATAAAGTTTTTCATGGGCTATTGCTCAGATACTGAGTCATATTGTGCCATTAGTGTTTTTAATAATGTGTTGAATAATGCTTATCGAAACTCTCGAATTGGCTGTAATTGCTGCACGAGTGACTTCAGATTCTCTGTAAGTGCTGGTGGTACTGACTGGTAGGATATGCATACTTTAAAAGTAGGACAAAAATGAAAAGGAAGAAGAAAGAGTGGGGAAAAGACATGAAGGCATGAAAACTGCATTAGGCGGTGGCAGCCAACACAGAGAGAAGGATGTGAATGATTCAGGAGGCAAAGGGATTAATAATGCAGGACTCCCTCTCCCCCTATGTCCCAATGTCCCTCTCTCTTCCTCCCTTTCACTCTTTTACCCTCTGCTTCCACCCTTTTGTATATTCCTTCCTCATTCTTTTTCTCTACTGTATTCAGCCCTAATTTGTCCACTTTATTGTCAAGTCACTGAGCAAACCAGTAGGGGGAGCTATCCACTCCAAGCCTATGTTACTTCTCAAACTTCTCCCCAGTCCTCCCCTGCTGGGTGCAGGTTTAAGTTTGTGCACCAGCTATCCAGCTATAAGCTTTTTCGTGAAACATTTGATGAAATAAAATATTTACAGTGTGGCACATTTTCCCATGCTTTTCTTTCTCTCTTTTTTTCAAATCTATGACGTAAGGTTTATCTCCATTTGTTTGCCCCATCACTACTTTCCCTTCTATCCCTCATCACATTCACATAAGCCATGGGCAGAAATGACCTGGTCACAGGAAATGATGACCTAATTTAATTGAAACTCTGATGGCCCGTCAGGAGGCTTTTAATTACCTGTTAATGTTCTGTGTCTCTTTCCCCCTCCCTCCCTCCCTCCCTCCCTCCCTCAATCTTGGTCTGTCTCTGTCCTACAGGACCGGGCTCTAATGGGCAACATTACCAGGCTATGTGACAATGCCATAGCCTTAGAATCATTCAAAGGCTCTGAGAGAGAGACCAACCCTCTCTACAAAGACTACCATGGTAAGAACACACACGCTTATCTTTCTGTCTCTTTTCCATCAAATACACACACATACATACAGGCAGTGCATTAAGGCTGAGGCTGGGCTGTGGATGGAGGCAGGGCAGCCCCCTTGCAGGCCAGACTGTCAGTGCGCGTTAGTGTGCTGCTGCTCAATCAGACGTGCTCCTCAGTAGACAGGCCGGGGGGGATTCAGCTGCCACGCTGTACCCCCTCTCCCTCGCACCCACTGCCCCCACCCTCCATCCCTGCCTCCCCCCTCCAGCAGAGCCTCTCTCCCTCTCGCCTCGCCCACTCTCATCCCCAGTCCCATACCCCTGAGGCTCTGGAGCAGAGCAGACCAACACTGGGGAATCGATATTCTCACCATCACTCTCTCTTCCTCTCTGCCTCTATCGCTCTATCCCTCGGTCAATGTCTCCGTGGCCAGCATGCTCTGCTAATAAATGGAGGGCAAGGCTTTCAGTAGGGGAAAGGACACTGGTAAGGGACACTTGGAGAGAAAGAAATAAGGAAACACGAAGGGAGGGCAGGCACCGTAGTTTGTGTTTGCGTTCCTCATCCTCACCATCACTTTTTCTGTACAGTTTCATCTTTCCTTCTTTCTCCGGCATGTTTTCCTCTTTTCTGTCACTCTATCACACCCTCCACGCATAAAGGTCAGTTTAAGCGAGTTGGGTATTTTTAGCAGTGCCTCTCGAACTCTCCCACTCGCTCTTGCGCTTTTCCTCTCACCCCCCCTCCACCCCCCCTCGTGTTAGACGGCCCTAGTTGTGACAGATGAAGGGATGAGATTGAAAACATTCAATGGCAGATTTTGTTTTCATCCAACAGCATGTTTTATTTAGATCACACATCCCAGCAGTGATCACATTCCTCTGCATTGTGAGGGCAGGTGGCTTTTCAGCTCATGCAACATGAGTGTGAGGATGTATAATTTTTTTTAATGATTTTGTTTTGCAAAAACAAAACAGAACGTTCTTTTTAATTTGCAGTTAATATTGTTTGCACACCTTGTTCAAATATATGTTTGCCCTGTTCAACCAGCCAGAGAATCTCTGGTTGGGTTATGAAATACATTTACGTGTACAATTGTTTTGATGTGTGCTCATGAGTGCAAACGCATCTGGTACGAGTGTGAGAGTGTGCGTGCGGAGGCGCGTGCGTGTTTGCGGCAGCAGTTGAGGGCTGCTCAAAGCATGCTGGGAAGCCTGTCACTGCAAATCAGGCAAGGGGAAATCACCCAAGTGCACAGAGGAGAGAACCCACCATCCCCCGCTTTTTATGTCTGTCTTCCTTTCTCCATTACTCCCTCGATCACTCCTTTTCTCTCTCACACTTATTTATACCTCCCTACTTTTACAGTATGTAACCAGTTTTAAGAAAACTGGGGTGAATAAATTGAGGACTAAGAGTGTGGGGAAAAAATCCACCAAAACTTTGTAAGAATCCGTAGCTTGCGTTTTTGTCTTGTGTCCTTATTGTTCTAGTATGTCCCAGTGTAAGTTGGCAAATTTTATTCGCTCATACTCCAAATCATAGGAAAAGTCTAACATGCAGATATGTGAACAAAATACTTCTTCATTTCAGTCTGCCAATGACATTTACTCAGTATATTCTATTGCAGATTTAGTTGTTAGTAATTTTACAATTAATTTGTGCCTTAAATTTAATCCTCTTGTACAGATGCAAATTTTCAAAACAAACCCCCAAACTTTAAAAAATCCTTCACCTTATAATGATCAGTTAGACATTTGAAAGCCATTGCAAAACTTTGAAACATTCAAAAATATAATCTGTTACTAAAATACTGTAAAGACATGAAGACTTGCATTTACGAATGGATTTATCAAACTTAATATTAGTTTTTGCTGAGGTCAACGTGGGGTCACTAGCAATTTTTTATTAGCTCTTCTCATACAGCTACTGCCTACATACTAAAATGTTACCTTGAAAGGTGCTGGGGAACAGCATTCTTCCAAAATGGGGGTATTGAGCTTAATAATGAAGGTTAATTTTCTTGCTAGTTGGTAGTAACTCAGTAAATCTGTAAAATTCTGTCACTTATTTTATGTTTATATAAAAAATGGCACGTGTGAGAAACACAATGGGGTTTTCTGTTGGCACAGTCAAATAAAATACACATGCTCTGTAATAAATGAAGTAGTAAGGCAGGAAGAAGTAAAGGAAGCTCTTACTTTGTGTGGTATTTCAGGTTTAATCTACTCCCTCTTCCTTTCACAGGCCTGCTACACGTACGCCAAGTACCTTACCTGAACTGTCTGGCGAGCCAACTCCCTGACCACAAGGACCTGGCTTTTAAGCTCAAGAGAAAACAGTTCAGTATTGAGGTATGTTGTCAAAGGTACTCAGCGTAACCAGGATCTATTCATTAAAAAGACAGTATTCCAAGGGTTACACCCGTTAAACCCTGTATAATGTGATATCTCATCAGATTTTTTTTGTTTTTCTTTCTTTTTTAAAAAATGTTTGAATTTTTTAGTTGCTCTGATTTTACCTCCCTGGTCTATTTTAATTGTAACTTGCCTTGTAGCCATTAACCTAAAACCAAAAGCGATGTCGATACAAAGTAATTATTTATTAAGAAAGATTACATTTGCTTCGTGCAGATGAGAACTCTCTCACGTAGGCGAAGCTCTGCCAACCTTTGTTTACTTTTGTCTGCTATTGGGTGACAAAATCAAAGGAGAAGCTATTGATTACACTCTGTTGCTACCACAGTTATTTGAGTGTAATGCCAAGAGGCAACAAAGTGAGAAAAATCCATCTATAATCATAAATACACAATACTGCTTCTGCTGCTTATGACAGTTAATTATGTAGTTTTCTATGTTTTTATGTTGGGATTGCATTAATTTGTTACCAGCCATGACTCTGATCCAAGGATGTGACCCTGCATTAGTTTAGCACTCAGTACTTTTGTTTTTCAGCCACAAGAATGAGGCAACAGCAACAAACAGGGTTTGCAGAGAGAAAGAAAAGCTCTCAGATTACGTGCTTACTCTAATAAGGAGCAACATTACCTTAATATGTAAGATAGCTTGAAATTCCAGTGTGACATCTAAAGACCCATTAGTGCATTTGCATGTATGACTTAAAATTAATTAGAGTATTAGTGAATGTTTCTAACATTTTATCCAGTATATTATATACACAAGAGAGCAAAATGATGTAATGAAGTGCAATACACCACCTATACCAACAACCAATGTGGCATCAATAATAGAAATGATGTAGAATTTAGAGTGGAAATGTTTTCTTGGATTGCATTTTATTTTACTGTGTGTACCTAGGTGATTGTATGGGCTTCCTCTTTCTTCATTCATTTTGATGTATGATTGATCATATTCTTTCTCTTTTGCACGATCACTCTTGGGCAGAGCAATCAGTCTGTCACTGAGCTGCCACTCCAGAGAGAAATTAAGGGGCCCTCCTCTTAGCTCAGCCTCATGATTGGTCCTCATTACATTATCATTACCTTATCACACCCTCTGGTCCATGGCTCTTAGTGACTCCTATTGTTTCAGCCAGGATTTGTAGGGGAGGAGAGAAATGCCTGTGCCACCCCCAAACTTCCCTCCATCTTATGGTCAATCCTTTCTCATTTTTTTGCCCGCCTTAACTGCCCTTCCAACCCTTTCTTCTGTCTGTCCCAATCCCTCCTCCTTTCTCTGATTTCCCCAACATACCACTCCAGTGATTTATTAGGTTTGTAAAAGTCAAGGTAGTTATCCTAAATGGTCTTTTAATTAGGCTCTGTATTGGGCAGGCCAGGAGTTCAGAGGCCTAGAGAATCCCAGTAGCTCTGTGGGGCCTGGATCCCCTGTCATATATTCCAGCAGCACATTGTTAAGACCAAGCTTTGTCTGCCTTTCTTGTTTAAGGAGCTTTATTGAAGTTTTTTGCTGAGTGGGAGTCATACTCTTGCGCTGCCCATATGGAAAAGAAATAGTAAAAACTTATAAAAGACTTGCATAAGATTTGGCTTACTTAATATAGTGAATCATATAAGGCTTATATGATTCACTCATGAAAGTGGCCACTTTCTCATTACTTTCATATATTCTTTTAGGAAGTATCCAAAACATACAAGTTTCATTTATATAATTTTTCAAGGGATCTTATATCTGTTTTCACTCTTGTATGCTTTTCATATAAGTTTCACACAAGACAGATACAAACTTTATAAGATTTATATATATCGTTTCCATATCGGTGTCTTTATAACATATGCTTAAAACTTCTGCAATATCCACCTATGATTTTTTTAAGGATTGTAAAATGGATGCACTTGTTGACACAAGATCGTACTTAATATAAAATGTCACAGTCCTATGAGACATTGCTATATGTTAGGGAATTTTCCAGAGAACATCGTGTCACCAGTCATGCATCAAATCAGCCAAAACACATATTAGTCATTGTAATGCCCTATTATGTGCTTTGTGTTGTGTTCTCTGGCATTGTGATTCGCTGTCATTAATTTGTACATTATCTGAGTTAGAAATGTCACAAAGGTATGAATGCACGTGCTCTTCCTTCACTGTTGCAGAGTATGGGTATATATGTCTACTGGTGTGCATCTCACACATACATTGCTCAGTGTATACTGTGTTTGACCTATTGGTTGACTGCCTCGGTGGGCCGCTGATTGACACATAAGATGGTGACTGGATTTTAAGCCTGGTGTCTGACGTGTGACAGCCCACACCATCCCTGCTAATCACCTCATTTACTCATGCTACAACTCTTCTGCCTGGAGCCACGTAATACAACATTTTCTCTACTGCTCAGTCTTCAACAGATCCATGTTGCTATGTACCTTTTTCAACTGTTGACTCATTTTCCATATATGAAAGGCACTGAATGCGGCAGCTTTCTATTTATCATCTATCTGGATTAATTTGCGATGCGGTGGTGGAAAGTGACAGATGATTGACAGTGCTACCTTCTCACCAGCTCGGTCAGGCAGCTGCATGTCTCCCCAGCCACACATAGATTTGTCCTGGTAACTAATTTCTTAACTGCTGTTTGACTCATGTTTATATCCCCTAACATTTCTGGAATGCGGAAAGTGTTTGTTTGCCAGCTCACAGAGTGCAGAGATTATTTATAAGAAAGTGATCTTGTATTTATTAGTTTTGATTTTATTTTTTAAATGGTGGGTTTTGGTTTTAGCAAATAAATTCCCCCATTCCTCAATCGGTATTCTGTTGGTTCTTTTTTTAAGGTCACCACGATAGCTCATGATGTTTCTCAGAGTTCAAGCTGCGGTTGATGAGCAGTTATTAGCCACGACGCCTGAAGCCAGAATTAACCCGTGGCCCTGTCTGAGCAGGTAGAGGAGTGTTAGGTGTTTAAGAGATTAACACATACTCAGAGAGACATATACAAACAATACTTGCTCTCACACACATACAGATATTGACATTCATGCAATGGCACAAGCAAATATGTATTGGGAAATGCGGACACGCCTTAATTGTTAGACACTTTCTGAAAACACGCAATGTGTGTGAGAATTTTCCCAGCCACTCAGCTAATACAGGCTTCTGTCAGTGGTTTCACAAGGGAAGATGCTTTAAGGATGAAGCCCTGAAGATTGTAGATAGTACATTCTCTTTACCTTTGGTTGACCCTTTAAACTGACAGGCAGTGTGCCCGTGGGGTACTGGGGTGCCAGAGGTAGGTCACGGGGTCAAATACGCCATAAGACAAGGATTTATGTCAAATTAGTCCTCTATTAGAGATGCTATGCGGAGATGTCTGTTGCTCTGACAAGTCATTTGCTATGGCGGTGTAGTGTATACATAGGAAAAGTTTCATGTCATTGAGAACTGTTATATTTTTAGAGTATTTTGCATTATTATAAAGAGAAAGGAGTCAGTGAAAGGAAGCTGGTGAAGAAAGGATGACACATGATGACAAAGGTCATATAAAATATAGGGATTGCATCACAGTTTCTTACGTGTAATAATATTGCACATCCTGGTTCATTTGTATGACACCACTTTTTTGAGGTGTCAGTCCAAACCAGCCTCAGGGTCAACTAGAAATGGCTTAACCATTTCTGTCACCTATCAAGGTACAGTTAATATTAATTTCTGCTATTTACTTTGAAGGATAATAGAATAGAATAATCTTTTAATTGCCCCACAAGGGGAAATTTGGTTGTAACAGCAGCCAGAAAGACACATATACAACAAACAGGACACAGAACAGAAACATACACAATTTTTCTTACATATTTACATTAAGGATAATGGTTAGTATAAACAGAGTACTGTACAGTTATTAAATTAAATAAAAACACGATAGCTTCAGATTTTCTTTGGACTTTGGTTGCGATTTCACTTATTTTCAGCATAAATACTTTTAATTCAACCTCTTAATGTTGACCTATGACTTATTCAAGCATCTAAAAGGAACCTAACTAGAACTAGAAGGATGAAACAGTGTTTTGTCCGTACATGACAGACAACTTGTCAAAGAACTCATTTTAAATTGAATCTTTTGTCACATTGTTACTAGCTGCCTGTCAACATTTCATTTGTTTCCATTTTTTTTAGCTGAATCAACAAAAAAATTCCAAAGATAAAATCGTTTGACACATATGAAATAATATTTTTTCACCAACAAGGTGAAGTTCTAAGAGCTAGTAGCTGAAAATGACATATCTCAGCATGGAAAATCTGGGGAAACTGGACAAGTGGACAACAACAGAGCTAGCAGACCAAAAAATAAATTAAAAAAAATCTACAGCAGTCGAACAGTATCTGAAAGTCGTGTCCTTGAGAAATGGCAAAAAAATGCAGCAAAGACTGCATGTGTAAAGGAGTTCAGGATAGAGGAAGAACATGGAGTGTCGACAGCTGTTTGTAAAACATGGTGGAGGCTCGGTTATGTTTGGGACTGCCCTTCAGCCACTTGTGTTGGAGGTTTTGAATGTCCTTCAAGAAGCCTGAAGAACAATTTCTGAAGACTACTTAAAGAAAAAGCTTGTCTAAGAGAATTCAAGCTGCGTTGATGGATGTGGTCATACCAAATATTGACTTTCAAGCTTGTTAGAACTGCTCTAAATCTGGTTTTGATTAGATTTTTCTATTATTTAAATCTCCATATTTAAATGCTATTAAAAATGCAGAGTCTACCATATTTGAACTTTTTTTACACTATATTATATATTTACCTCTGACACTACCAACTCCTCTCTCCCAAAAACTTCTCAAGTTGTGCAAAAACCTTCCATCCCACATGACATGAACGTGAGTAGTTAACTTTTACGTGCGTTGGAGGAAAGCCACAAGATAGCAGAAAATAATATTAAGAG